GCCCTCCTCCCCGACCTCCCCGCGGGGCAGTGAAGAGAACGGGCTTCCCCTGCTAGTCCTGCCTCCGCCCGCCCCCTCGGTGGACGTGGAAGACGGCGAATTCCTCTTCGTGGAACCGCTGCCTCCGCCCCTGGAGTTCTCCAACAGCTTCGAAAAGCCCGAGTCGCCCCTCACGCCTGGGCCTCCCCACCCGCTGCCCGACCCACCCACCCCGGCCACCTCTTTGCCCCCTGTGCCACCCCCAGCGGCCGCCCCTCCTGCCCTGGACTCCACCGCATCCAGCCTGACGTCCTATGACAGCGAGGTGGCCACGCTGACCCAGGGGGTCCCTGCTGCTTCTGGGGACCCCACTCCGCCAGGCCCACCTGCTCTCCCCGCACCGGCTCCCCCTGCCCCACAGCCGGTCCCAGACCCTCCGCCTGGCACAGATTCTGGTATTGAGGAAGTAGACAGTCGGAGCAGCAGTGACCACCCCCTGGAGACCATCAGCAGCGCATCCACGCTGAGCAGTCTGTCTGCCGAAGGTGGTGGCAGTGCAGGGGGTGGTGGCGGCGGTGGAGCTGGTATAGCAAGTGGGCCGGAGCTTCTGGATACCTACGTGGCCTACCTGGATGGCCAGGCCTTCGGGGGGAGCACTACTCCTGGCCCACCGTATCCCCCACAGCTCATGACTCCCTCCAAGCTCCGGAGCCGGGCGCTGGGGGCCAGTGGAGGCCTACGGCCTGGCCCCAGCGGGGGACTTCGGGACCCTGTCACCCCCACCAGCCCCACCGTCTCGGTGACAGGGGCTGGAACCGATGGGCTGCTGGCTCTGAGTGCTTGCTCCGGACCCTCAACGGCAGGCGTGGCTGGGGGTCCAGTGGCTGTAGAGCCAGAAGTCCCACCAGTGCCCTTGCCCACCGCCTCTTCCCTGCCTCGGAAGCTGCTGCCCTGGGAGGAGGGCCCGGGCCCACCACCGCCACCCCTGCCCGGGCCCCTGGTCCAGCCTCAGGCTTCAGCCTTGGCCACAGTAAAAGCCAGCATCATCAGTGAACTCAGCTCCAAGCTTCAGCAGTTTGGGGGCTCCTCGGCAGCCGGCGGCGCTCTGCCCTGGGCCCGGGGAGGCAGCGGGGGAAGCGGGGACAGCCACCACGGGGGAGCCAGCTACGTCCCCGAGAGGACCTCCTCCCTGCAGCGGCAGAGGTGAGCAGGGGCTGGTGGCTGGCAATGGAGGCCAGAGGGGCTGATGTGGTGGGTACCAGATCCCACCTTCCCCATAGCTGTACCCCTTCAGGGTCCCAGGGTGTCAGGAAAACAAAACAAAACAGAAACAGAAAGCGGGCTGGCTCGCAGAAGTTCGCCCTCAAAGAAGCGTGCTTCCACAGATACTTTAAACTTTAAACTTCCCTTTACTTCAGTAGCTTCTGTGGTCTCCTCCCATCTCCATCGCAACCCACATCCCGTGATGAACAGAAAGTTATTAACAAAGGAGAGTGGAGCAAAACTTGCTGATATCCACTTCCTTGGTGGCTTGTCAGTTCTGACAGTCCCTGAAATCTGGATTCCCTTCAACCCAGTGTGTTTCAGGACATGATGCTTCAGGGCACAGTCGTTACAGGTGTGGTTCTGGAGCTCATCTCTTGGCTCTGATCCCAGCCCTGCACTGTCTAGCTAGGTGACCTTAGACAAAGGAATCCAGCTCTCTGTAGAAGGGGGATGGTATAGTACCTGCCTAAAAGGGTTTTCAAGAGGATTTAATGTGGGCCATTGTTATCACATGAAATGGGGGGAGGAGGGGACTCTTAGAAGAGCCCAGCAACATTTAGATGAAGAAATATGGAGTGGTGAAGTTTCCCAAAATAGCTAGTTAGCTGGGATCGCAAAAGTTCAATCCCATTCAAGACCTGCTAGTCTTAGGCAAAGTAGAGTTACATTCCTGATTCAGACACACAGGTGGGGAGAGTTTTTAAATCTTGTCCATATGCAGAGCTCACTCTAATTCTGTTTGAGAATCTGATATCTTTATGGCTATCATTCAAATATCCGTTTATTACACCTTTGAGATCTTAATGCAATTCACTGATTATTCCTAAGTAATCTGGGTAGAGGAGAGGATGCTTAAGTTAGTCAACAAATGCATCAATTATTATCACCCACTGTGTGCTGGGTGCCTTCTGGGTGATGAGGACCCCATAGAGGACAAGAAAAGCAAAGCACTGCCCCCACAGAGCTCATAAGTCTAGTGAGACAGGGTGGGGACCAGATAACAGATAAAATAATTGCAACCATCCTAGAAAAAAACCTTACAATAATGGTATGGTTAAAGAAGGTCTCTCAAATAACAGGGCAAAAGGCCTGAGGTGGGACTGTGCTGGAGGGAGCTAAAGGGATGAGGGGAACCTTTTTCTCCCCTTGTTTCTTCTCTCTTTCATCTCCCTCTCTTCACCTCTCTCTCTTTCTCTCTCTGTCCCCTGGCCCCTTCCATCTCTTTCCCCGGACGCTCACCCTCTTTTTGTTTCTCTCTCACTGTCTCCCTGTCTTCCACTCTCCTATGACTGGCCATAACCTGAAAGGCAGTATAGAGTAGTGGTTAAGAGCTCAGACTTCAGTGCCATATAACCGGGCTCTGCCACTTCCTGGCTGTGTGTCCTTAGGCAAGTTACTTAACCTCTCTGTGCTAATAATAATAGTAACCTGCGTCAGGGCTGTCGTGGGGATTAAATTGAAATGCAATATGTAAAGCACTTAGAACAATGCCTGGCACACGTGAACATCAGTAAGTGGTGGCGATGATTATTATTATCACTTAATGTCTGTTTTTCTTTCATCTCTCTTGACTGTCACCCTCTCCCTGTCCTCTCATCTTTCTCTCCCTTCATTTCTGTCCTGACATCCATCTTACCCCCTCGCTCCTTCCATTTCTTCCCACCTCTCTTCTCCATCTCTTTACTCCCGCACTTATGTCTCTCTTCCTCTCTCCCTATATCTTGACCTCTGCCTCTTTCTCACCCCTGCCCTTACCCCATAAACCCCCTTCCTCTACCCCTGCCCCCCTGTCACATTCCAGACTCTCCGATGACTCCCAGTCCTCACTCCTCTCCAAACCTGTCAGCAGCCTGTTTCAGAACTGGCCCAAACCACCTCTGCCGCCACTCCCCACTGGAACCGGAGTCCCCCCTTCAGCTGCTGCAGCCCCGGGGGCCACTTCACCCTCAGCCTCCTCCTCCTCCACGTCCACACGCCACCTCCAGGGCGTGGAGTTTGAGATGCGGCCCCCTCTGCTCCGCCGGGCTCCCAGCCCCTCACTGCTGCCTGCCTCGGAGCACAAGGTCAGCCCTGCACCCAGGCCCTCGTCCCTGCCCACCCTGCCCTCCGGACCCCTCTATCCAGGCCTCTTTGACATCCGTGGCTCCCCCACTGGAGGGGCAGGAGGCTCAGCTGACCCCTTTGCCCCTGTTTTTGTGCCACCACACCCGGGGATGTCCGGGGGACTTGGAGGAGCCTTGTCAGGGGCCTCCCGCTCCCTCTCACCAACCCGCCTGCTTTCGCTGCCCCCGGACAAGCCATTTGGCGCTAAACCTCTGGGGTTCTGGACCAAGTTCGATGTGGCCGATTGGCTCGAGTGGCTGGGCTTGGCTGAGCACCGAGCCCAGTTCCTGGACCACGAGATCGACGGCTCCCACCTGCCTGCCTTGACCAAGGAAGACTATGTAGATCTGGGTGTGACCAGGGTGGGCCACCGCATGAACATCGACCGGGCTCTCAAATTTTTCCTGGAGAGGTGATGGCTGGCCTGGGCGGACCAGCCCGTCCACAGAACCCTTGAGCCTGCTGGCCTCTTGATCTCTGAACCCTGACCGTCATTCTCTCCCTGGGCCAAGGACTCTGCTAAAACTGCCCCCTGCCCTGGTTTCCCAAGGCTGGAGGTCACCAAGTGGCCCGATCCAGGCCGGACATTTACACCTCATAGGAGGGGGCAGCTGACTGTGTGTGTGTGAAGCCCGGGGCAAAGGGGGAAGGGGGAATGGAAGGAAATACAGAGGGGGATTGAGGAGGAGGGAAGGGTCAATTCTGGGGGGAGGGAACAGACAGAGCCATAGAGGGTCAGCCCTAAGCCTGATTGGATGGGGGCTGTCCCCCAGGCCACAGGGGAAGGGGGTGCCCTCAGATTCCACCACCTGCCGCCCCTCTAACAACCCTTCCCACCCTCTCCAGGCCCCTTAGCTCTCCCCCATTCCTCTCTCCCCAGCACACACAGTTGTCCCACCCGCAGCCTCTTGCACGCTTTGTTGCACGCCTGCTCGCCTCTCTCCTGCCCCTCCCCTCCCTGGGCTGCAATTTTGCACAAATTTGCCCTCTCGCTGTCTTGCACATTCCGCCTTCGCTCTGGCTTGCGAGGCCCTCTTAGCTCTCAAACTCTCAATTTTCCTTGCACACAATGCATTTCTTTTCTCATGCTCCGTGCCCACCACATGCTCTTTCCGACTCTGGCTTACACACTTTTCCCCTGGGGCCCTCCCTTGCACACCTCACTTTGTAAAATCTCCAGACCCTCCCTGCTCACTCTGGACCCTTGCTGCAGACACACTTGGGACACTTTTTCCCTTCCCCACTCAGACTGTGCACACGTATTTATTCTCTGGAGTGCCCTTCTCTTTGTTCAACTCTTGCACACTTGCCATTTTGTGCACCCCACCTGACACTCTTACCTCCATCTTCCTTTGAAGCACTTTCTCTTCTTGAACCCCCAGCCAGGTTCTTACTTTACCCACTTCTCCCTCTCACAGTGACACTCCTACCCCTGCCCTCCCCCTTACTCTCTTGCACTGTCACTTTTTATCACACCCCTCGCACACTTGCCTCCCAGGAACTATGTTTTTCTTGCAATGTTCATTCCTTTCTTCTTTGCCAGGCTCCCACTCCCTACGCCCTTCTTTCTCAGATCTTTGCGCATCTCCATTCCTGACCTCTTCATGAGCGCTCTCGTGCACTCGCTCTTGCGTACGCACCCTTCCCAGCACTTTCACTGCTCTCTGGAAGCCTTTTTCTTTCCCTGAATAATGTTCTTGCACACTGTGACGCTGCTGTACACTCCTTCTCGTCTCCTTACCTGGACAACTTTTTCCATCTCCCTTGAAGAATTCCATCACGTCTTTCCTATTGCACATTTGTCTCGTTCCACATACTCTTGGGCTGAACTACCACTTCTTTTCCTGACACTCTTGTTTTTTGTTCCTGTCAAGGGACAGCTCTTGCGACCATTCTCACTCTTATTCTCTTACTTCTTCCACTACTCTCTTCCTGACCAGAGAAGACCCTGTGCCTCCTCGCTTCCTGCTCACCACGCTTCCACAGCCTCCTCCCACTGCCTCCAGCCCTCACTCACCCTCACAGCCTCCCTCCTGTCACTCTTCCCTGTCCTTCCTGGGCCACCTGTCCATCCATTTTGCACGAAGATTCCCCCCTCCTCCTGACCCTTCCTTCTCTCCAAGAAACTCCCTCTCCCTCCAGCATGGCTGTTCCTTCCTGCACGCTTCCCCCCTCCGCTTATTCCTGGGGCTTGGGAATTTTAAGCCACCCGTCCCCCTGGGATGCCCCCTCCCCTGCTGTGGTTAAGGGGAGGAGGGCATCGCCCTCAGGTCCCCCCAAGTTCAGCTGCCAAAGAAGGGAGCTCCCCCTCCTTCCCCTAAGCCCATTTCCACTCTGCTGCCCCCCTACCCCCTGGGGGGGCGCTCCATCCATGAGGGGAGGGGGCTGCAAGCCCCCTCCCCTCACCATGTCAGGGATCTGCGGGGAACCTTGTGGGAGGGTCGTGGGAGGGGGGAGGGGTGTCGAGGAGGGGGCGGAGGTCGCGCTGGGCCCCTACCCGCCCCCTCCCCCTTGTCGGATGCCCCCAGTCCGCAGGGGGCCTGCGCGGCGCCCGTCTATCAAGGGCTTGTTCATTCTGGATGGGTGCCGCGGGGTTGGGGAGGGTGTAGGGGGTGGGGAGGGGGGAGGAGAGGTCGGG